AGCCTCATCTGACATTAGGGTCCTCTGTGGAGCCCATCATCCCCCAGCTTTAATCCAGAGCCTGTTGCGGAAACACTGGGCTCCGTTTAACTGCTGGCACTGGCGGTGGGCCCTTCATCCCATGATCGCTCCGTTTTTGCTCCTTCTCCTCAGGAGGCCCTAGTTGAGCTTCCGGGAGGGTGTGAAGTGAAGAAGGGTCAGCCTTGGGCATCGAGGCCAGGCAGGCCCGTCCCCATTAAAGACATGTCTGTCCTGGATGTGACCACACGCGCGCGCGCGCACACACACACACACACACACACACACACACACACACGCATGCACGCATGTGTACTGAGGTCTCCAGCGAGGCCTTTAGGCCTGTTCACACCTCCAGGAGGTCGAGGGCCTTCATCCTGCCCCAGATACCTGGTACACAGAGCAGCCACATCGAGGGGCCCAGCAGAAAGGCCACCCCCAGCACCCTCCCACCAAGGCCTCCTGGGTCCCTGGAGGCCCGTGCAGCGCAGAGTTTGAGAACTGCTCCCTGTCCTGACCTAACATTGTTTGAGCCTCCGGCCTGAACGCTGTACCTTGAGCCACTTTCTCCCAGCGCAGCCTCAGGAGGTGCCGGTCCTGGATGGCACCCAGGTTGGGGCAGAGCGGGGCTGAGGCTCCACCCTTTGGGCTGGCTCAGCCTGAGTGCTGGGCTGATGGGGGTCGTGCCGCCCCCTCCCTAACCCAGACACCCTGTCCCTCTGTCCGCAGGCGGGCCGCTAGACCTCATGTCTTGCAGGGTGGTTGCTGCGGGCACACGGGAAATGGCGGTGCTCATAGCTCAGGCCCTACAGACGATTAACTACGGGCGGGACGATGAGAGGTGAGGGGAGCAGACAGGGCTGCCCCAGGACGGGGCCTTCCTGGGAACCTGGAGCAAGAGTTCCTGATCCCCAAAGGAGCCATCAGGCTGGAGTCCGGGCTGTCTGGCTGAGCCCACGTCTTGGTGACTTTGGTGTCCAGTGGTTCCTCTCTGTAATCTCACGTAGCCTTGTGTGGGTTGGTCCAGCCCTCCTACCGGGGCCGAAACCTGGATCTCACAGGATGTATGTATTGATACTGCAATTGCAACTTTTTTTCCAGAATGCAAATCTCAGGTAATAAGGCTTTCGAACTGCTGAGAAAGCAGACTTGCTCTCAGCGACCTCCCCCGCCTCTGCCCATGGTACTTCAGAATGCAATAAACCAAATGATGACTCTCTGCTTGTTTCCCTCCACAAGTGTGTCGCCTACTTCCCCAAACGACCCCCAAAATCCACAGGCTGTTTAGGGAAGTTTGCATATGACAGCCCAGAGGTGACATGCTTGCTATCTGCCTGCCACGGGTGATGAAAACAACTTCAGTAATTATCACGTCAGTATTTAAAATCCGAGACGTGGGTCAGACTGAAGAAAACCAAACGTCTAAAATGCTGTGTTAAAATGTTTTTGTGATCGGTTTAACGAAGAAAATTATTTTCTGGGCCTTATTTTCCTCTTTAGGAGCAGGAATTATATATAAGAATAATTCTAATGAGGATATTCACTGGCTGGCTATGGGTCTTTTCTGAAGTTTAAAAATCGAGGAAGTCAGTCTTAGGACGGAGGAAATTCCAGCCCACGCTTAGCTTTCTCCCTCGTGTTCCTAATTTGCAATCAACAATAATTAAAGAGTATTTAGGGGCTTCCCTGGTGGCGCAGTGGTTGAGAGTCCACCTGCCGGTGCAGGGGACACGGGTTCGTGCCCCGGTCCGGGAAGATCCCACATGCCACGGAGCGGCTGGGCCCGTGAGCCATGGCCGCTGAGCCTGTGCGTCCAGAGCCTGTGCTCCGCAGCGGGAGAGGCCACAACAGTGAGAGGCCCGCGTACTGCGAAAAAAAAAAAGAGTATTTAGAGCGGCCCTGGCACCTGCTGTCTCTGGCACCTAAACTCCGGGGCTCGGCCTGTGCAATGACCCAGGCACTTTCACCAAACCACACCCTGGAGAGCCCTCGGCAAGCCCACCGGCCCTGCTCCCCTCTGCGGACACTGCGGGGCCTCAGAGCGCATGACGCTGACTCCCCTGTGCCACCTGCTGCTCACAGGGCAGGTGCACTGGGCCCACTCACGCACCTGGTGGAGCCCAGGGGGCCTCCCAGGGGGTAATTCCCTCCCCAAGCCAATCCCCAGAGGCCTCACCTCCACCTCCCCTTGGGTTACTGATTGATACATTCGCTATCTTTAGGAAGGAGTTTTCTGATCTGATCTGAATGAGGTGACAGGTGATGTCCCGAAAGGTACACAGGTAAAGGGCTCAGACACGTGAGGACTGGGGTCTCCTTTGGGACTAGGGCGTCTCATGCCTGCTGTGCATGAGGACCCACCTTTGATACCCACACGAGAACCGCAGGCTGCATGCAGGTGAGGAGCCTCAGCAGCCACTTGGTGCCCCTGCCACCCCTCGGGGCCTCGAATCTCCCCTGCACCCCGACCAGTGTCCGGCCCCTCGTTGACCCCCACTGAAGGCACACCGTCCTCCAGAGACCACCCCCCACGCTGGGATCCTTCAGCTTCCGTCTTGGCTCTGGCTTTCACCTGTGGGTCCGCGAATAACCAAGGAGGCTTCTGTGTGGTGGTGTCAGGACTCAGATCCCTGTCTCGTCCTGCCCCCGCCTCCAGGTGAGGTGGCCCTGGTTCCCTTCTGGGCACCAGCATCGCCCCCACCACCACCGCCGCCAACCCAGTGTGGCCTCTAGACATCAGGCTCCAACTGGTGGCCCCTGTGCCCCACCTGACCAGCCAGCCCAAGCTCCCTCTGTTGGGACACCGCCAGCTGTCCTAGCTGGTGGATTGTACGACCACATGTAGGACGTTATTCTCTTCACACCTTGTGTTCTAGAATCAATGAAAACAATACAGCGAAGTAGGGAAGCAGCTTCTCTCTGTGCAGGACCACAGCTCTGCGAAGTTTGAGCACCACAGGTGCAGAGCGTCTAACCGCAGGATCTTATCCCAAGGTGGTGGGAGGATGCGAGAGACGGGAGCCGTCCCAGGGCCGTGGCTGCAGGGCACATGCAGCCCGACTTTGCTGTGCGGATCTGGGGAAATCGTGCGTTTCTGGTGGCAGCTCCCGCCTAACCCCCTGCGGTGCACCTGAGCGGGCTCTGCGGTCATGCACGGATTCATGACGCGTCGGCAGGGCCCCACGAGCCGTTCCCGCCCTGGGCGTGTGCTGGGCACGCGGAAAGGCACGTGACCGCTCCCGCAGGCTCTGAAGAGACCTCGCGGACGGTGATGCCGCCACAGTCTGGTCCTCTACAGAGCTCCATGTTGTGTATGAGCTCGCAAACCTCGGTGCGTCCACAGTGGTGTCACCAGTCTGCCCGTTGGCAGCCTTGGCTGGAGAGTATTCATGCAAAGCCTAGGCTGTGGGACGGGGGTCCAAGGGCCGGGGCGGGGGTGGGGGGCGGGCGGCGGTCGACAGGACAGCAGGCAGAGCAGCAGCCAGATGCCCAGGCGGCCGGGTTGGTGGCCAGAGGAAGAGCTGTTCACTGCCACCAGGCGGCTGGTGGCAGGTCCCCCCTCCCCCACCTTGGCGGGGACGCCACATGTGGAGCCAAATGGGGCCAGAGTGGACATGTGGGGCAAGAGGGTTGGAGCCGCCACTCCCAGCCGTCCAGAGTCTCATCCCTGGGCACACGGATGGCCTTTGCTGTCTCTCAGCTTCGAGAAAAGCCTCAGCTTCTGCTCACCCTGGTCACTGCCATGGCTCAAAGCTGGCATGGGTGTGTCCTGGTCTTGCACCAGCTCTGACAGATTTCTGGTTGGCAGCAAGACCAGTGCAGAAAAGGAAGGAAAAGGTCTGGGCCACCCTGGTTTTCTATTTTTAAAAAACATGATGGCATATCTGTACACTGGTGTTCACAGTGGCACTATTCACAGTGGCCAGGAGAGGGAGGCTACCCAAGTGTCCATCAATGGCTGATGAATAAACGGAATGTGGTCCATCCGCAAAGTGAGGTGTTATTCAGCCTTAGAAAGGAATGAAATCGTGACCACTGCTACCACGTGGATGAACAGGTGTGGCTAGGAGTCACTTTTATTTCATTAGGAGAGGTGACGTCACTATGGTGTGTGTGACAACGTTCTGGTTTCTTCAGAGATGCAGGTTGAAGGATTTGATGTGAAGGGGTTCAAATAAAAATACAGATTAAAAAAACAAGCAAATATGTCAAAATGTTAATGGTGATTGAATCCAGGCAATGGGTATAAGGATGCTCATGGCATGTTCTTTCTATATGTCTTTATATTTTTTTAAAGGTTTTTTAAAATTTTATTTATTTTTGGCTGCATTGGGTCTTCGTTGCTGCTTGCGGGCTTTCTCTAGTTGCAGGGAGTGGGGGCTACTCTTGGTTGTGGTGCGCGGGCTTCTCATTGCGGTGGCTTCTCTTGTTGCGGAGCATGGGCTCTAGGCGCACGTGCTTCAGTAGTTGTGGCACGTGGGCTCAGTAGTTGGCATGTGGGCCCTAGAGCACAGGCTCAGTAGTTGTGGCGCATGGGCTTAGTTCCTCCACGGCATGTGGGATCTTCCCGGACCAGGGATCAAACCCATGTTCCCTGCATTGGCAGGTGGATTCTTAACCACTATGCCACCAGGGAAGTCCCTATATGTCTTTTTTTTTTTTTTTTTTT